ACAACTACTACTACTTCTATTGCTGTCTCTTCACTTTGTTGTACAACCATACAAAAAGCATATCCTCAACATCATTGACATGCTTCTCCTCCTTGATCTTTTAGCATTGTACTCTCTTCTTGAGAATAAGGAAGAATTGGAGGATAGAAAGACATTCTATGCTGTACTGGTGCACATGATGACATTAATTCCACTGCTATATGTGGTGGTAGGGTCCATTGGTATATTCTGTTTACAATGTAAGCATAGGCTTAAGATCAAAAATAGTAGTTTCCGTTTGAGAAGTATACAATGGAGGACAAGTCAGTCTCAGCCTTCAAGATCAATTAGGAGGACAGAATTAATAATGGATGATGATGAAGGTGAACGTGAACCACTCATTGGTATTATTCAAGCTGATGATGAGGATTGAATGTAAAACCAATTTAACTAATAAATTTTTTCTTTTACTATAATGCTATTATTTTGTTTGCTTTATGTATACATCCAATATTTTCTGGTTGATTTGTAGTTATTTTTTCATTGATTAGATTGTAATCAAAATGTTAAGACACAATTAGATCTATAGTATAGTTTGTGGGCGTGTATAGCATGCTATACAATGGCGTCTTTTTCTCCCCTCGTGTACCGGTATGTCCTTTTACCTCGCCTTTTACTGATTGCTCTGCTAGCATGGCTAGCCTATGCTCATGCTGATGGTGTTGAAGTTCACATCATTTCTTCCACACCACCCAGTAAGTGTAATTGTACACTGAATGCTAGTACTACAGGCCATATTAATTGCCCTGATCTGAGCACTGCATTGGAAAACTGTAAAAGCAATGAAACTTCCAACCTAACATTCATTTTACATAATGATGATAGTATTGAGACCTTCTTGTCATATGAAGTGGCCAACACTGTTCACATACAAAGTAACAGTGCCAATGAGAATGCACCATATACCATTTACTGTCTTGATTATAAATCATTAGAATTTATTTCTTCACTTGGTAGCAATCAGTCGGTTCTCTATTTTGATAATATTAAATTCCTTGGCTGTGGTAATGGCGTGCTCATAGGAATAAGTATCTCTGGTGTGTATAGTGTCAATATGGATCAGGCATCATTTCAGTACATGTTAGGCCTGTCAATATTAAATGCTGCTGATGTGGATATTAAAAATTCTAACTTTACATACTGCTACACTAATCCCTATGCTCCTTTACGAATCACATATAACAACTTAATATCAAATGCTGATAATAATACTATTACTTTATTTAATTGTCGTTTTGAATCAAATCAAGATGTTAGAGATTTTGGCTTTACAGTAGGTTCGTCTGGAGTATTTGTTGTAAGTTTTCCTTATTTACAAGATAAAACTCTTACGATTGGTTTACAAGAATGCTATTTTGCTAATAATAACTTACAGTATTCTTCTTATCTTTCACCAATGTTATATGTGTCAAATTCCACCAATTTAAGTGTTCATTTTACAATCGAAAATTCCTCTTTTACTGATAACGCTGGTCTTTTAGTTTTGTTTGAAGTGTCTGGTACTGAGGATTTGTTGTTTATCAATTTGTTTAACGATTCATTTTTCAATAATAGTAATCTTCTGAGTGATTATGGTTTGATTCATGTAAACATTTACCGTAAATTTGCTACTTTCAATTATGAGCAGTTAAATTTTTTTGAAAACAGTGGAAAACTAATGACTACATATCCTTCATATGCTACTGTTGATCACACATTAAACAATTGTTCTTTTGTTAATAATACAAATGGCAATAGTAAGGACTACATCATAGCTTTTCATGGCAGTCATGATAGTCTGCTTAATGTGACTTTAAATGAATTGACGTATAAAGTTGGTAAACCTCATGTTAAATCTAAT